CCCCCCCCCCCCCCCCCTTAACATCTTAAATAAAACACAGTTTTTAAAAGACTAATTAATTTATGTGCTTTTATAAGTTTATAAGCTTCACATTTCTACTTTTAAAAATTGGCCCCATTCACTTCCATTGTGAGTGCCTCAATGTAACCTCAATTTTGATAGTTTAAAAAAGGCAGGGTATGAGAGTTTAAAACATTTTTTTTTACTGTAGTCCGGTGCTGTCAGTTGAGGTAACTTGTTTTGAACCTGGAATATTTCTATGTCTTTCAAAAATTACACACGTGGTCAACAACTTGACAAGGACACCCCATGTAACATTGTTTTCTGTTAGCCTGTTCTTCCAGCCATTCTCCCCGAGACCTTCAAAGGTGCGCTCATACAGCAAAAAATGTTAAAAACTTCTCACCCAGTTTCGTGTCCTCCGATGTTTGAAGATCGTCTCCAGATTCCAAGATATTCGTCTTATGTTGCAAACAATCTACAAAGCACGTGGGGTATGCAGTTATCCATAAAGCTAGTACTGTGTAAGAAACAATGATTCATTAAAGCTAACAATGCTAACTACTTTCAACAGACTGTGAAAATGATATTTCCAGTGTTGTTAATGGGCTTTTTTAGTTGTTGCTGTGTTTGGAGCAATTCCTTTTGAAAAATACATCAACTCCAACATTGACGGTCTGCTCTGCAAGGATGATTTCAAGTGAGGGCATTTTCATTGTGAAAACCTGAAGTTTATTTTATTAGGTGTGGTTTTGATGTTCTGAATGGATGTGCTTGTCTTCTTTTTTAGAGATTTACCCAGTGCATTCATCACACTCTTCAGTATTTTTACCTTGGAGCACTGGTTTGATTTACTTTAAGACATTCAGAGAGTTCCAGAGCTAAACTGGATTATTCATTATGGTGTGGTTTGCATTTGGAGCCTTGATGACCTGTATTTTTATGGCCCTTATAAGTATGTATTCTTACAGTATATAAAGAGATATTGATTGTTCTAAACACAGTGATTTTCTTTATTCAGTGATGCACAAAAATACACCCAGACGAAGGTGAAAATAATTGTTTTAGTGCCTTTCTGAGTATATTTCTTTAAAAAAAAAAAAAAAAAAAAAATTCTCTATAAAAAATTTCATCTTGAGGTTACACGTAAGAAAAAAGGTTATCCAGCAGCCCTACCGACCATAAACTTTTGAATGGTAGTGTATGTATATTCTTAACTGTAACATTTCATTCGTTTTCTTTATGTCCACAGTTGATGACTTTCAGGAAATGCGTTCCAATCTTTCCAAAGAGGTGCCAGCAATTGAAAACCCTATGCAGAGCAGAGATTTTCAAAGCAAGTAATATGGAGTAGGTGAACAAATAATGTTTTCACTGCGCAGTGAAGGGGTTACTAGATGCCTGTAGTTTATGTTGACTTGTTAAACATGTTCAAACATTCAGATTGTGATTTCAGGGCAATAAGCCAGACAAACCAACTGAAGGACCACAAACCTGTCAAAGATGAGGAAGAACATGAAAGTCCAAATTTTCGTTTGGAAACATGAAACCATACCTCGAAACATGAGCTAGAGTGGGACATGGGTCTGGATGCGTTTATTCAGGCGGATGAGTTTCAGGATGACTGTGAGACAGAGTGCTGGCGTGAGGACAATCTCTGCAGGTACTTTGAGCTGATGGAAAAGCTCCAGTGCAACCTAGAGGAGATGAACCAGCTTCAGGATATATTAGGTGGGAATGAACGCCAAGCGTTTTCATGATCAGTGATTGCAACTGCAACATTACATTTGATCCAGTCTGGATAGAGTATTTTCATTCAAACATACAATGCTGCAGTGCAAAATATTTTCCTCTTTAATGGAATTTTACCTAATCATAATTTAATTCATTATAAAAAAAAAAAACACCAATTACTTTTTATCTGTTGTGACACAGTTCAGGGTTTCCTTAACCTGCACGACTGCTCAGAAAAATAATAAGAATGCATCAGCAAACCTGCTCTATGAATTCTGTTCTTCGTCACGAACACTGGATTGGTTAGACAATGAAAGATGTGTTTTTTTTTATACAGTTCACTCATTCATAATAAAATGTATATTTTGAATACTTTCTGAAATGACATTTGTAGACATTAGACAATAAGCCTTTTCATTTTTATGATATATTGTAATGATAACTGCTTGTTGGCAATTGACACTTTTTAATTAATTCTATTAAATCTATTGTTCTGTCAATCTGTCTGTGATTTTAATATATATTAAATAAGTTTTCCAACATAATGCAATGTACAAGCCTTGCGACTTCACTTCAGATACTACCCAATTAGAAAAATAACTGTGAAGATTGAACTCTCAAAAGTCACCTTGGCACAGATCTCATGCTGAATCCACAGAGAACAGCGACACTGGGATAGGCTATATATATATATATATATATACAATGTGTAGAATTACTAGTTTACTAGCTACTAAAAAAACTTAAATTGAAATCATTCAAAAATGTGTACGTTTTCAATAATTCAATGTATTTAAAAATAGTTATTTATAATTTAATATTATATCATGCATATTATTTTACAAACAAACCTAAATGAACATATATAAAATATATTTTTTGCTGAGATTTGATGATGTGACAATTTTGCGTCGTGATTACGCAATGACGTCATTGCGCAATGACATCACAACGTCATTTAGCAACTTTTAGCAACAAATCGACCTTCCTTTAGCAACTTTCTCTGAAAATTAGTTGGCAACACTGGGTGTCAGTACAAACCAACTCCCAGTGCAACATAAAACATGACTGAACACCTTTAAATGAATTATTTCAGTGGTAGTTTTGCTTTTCGTCTATTTTCAATTATAACAACAGTAAAATGTACAATAAAACACTCTCCAAGACCCTTCAGCGATTTATATCGTCAACATCTTAAACAAAAACATCTGTTTAATTCTCTGACACCTGAGGCAAATCTTGACAATGGCTATTATAGTATTATTGCAACACAATCAAGTAAGTTACAATGTGACAAATCAATAGCGCCACATGAACACAATCATGATGTACGATACATTCACTCCTGTTTTATACTGGAGTGTGGTATGTCTGGCGAAACACAGAGGCATGCTTATGGATCAGTATTAGTGGAATATTGAAGGAGGAAGGAACACACGAGAGGGAGGAGCCAGGAGAAGGGCGGAGCTAAGCGAGACTGCCAGTCTATTTAAACTGGCTGATGGGGGCGGGGATTTTGATGTCTTGGCCTCTCTCCAGTTTCTTCTCGCATTCAATGAGATAGTTCACTCCATCTATCACAGTCTGAACCAGCTGGACCTGAGCACATATTGATAAAGACAAGAAATCATGGTGAGGTAATTACATTTTTTCAGTTTTTAAAGAGACGGTTCATCTAAACATGAAAATTCTGTCATCATTTACTCGCCACAATATATCAGCACTCAGGGCCTAAAATTAACACTCTCCAAGTACCAAATATGAGTAAAAATCATCTTTGGCGAGTATTTGAAACAGTGTTATTCAGCAGTTGGCCTGTAACCTTTTTTAATAATTCTAACAATGCCTGAAAATACAATATGGTTTAGCGTGATTATGAAATCATAAAGACTGCATTGTAATTATATAAATATGTAATCTGATGTGTTGTGTGTTTCAGAGTGAAGCGCTGTTATCTTTTCATGGTTCACAGTAAAAGATGCTTCTCACAAACTTCTATATAAATTAAAATTATTATGAAATTCTTTACAGTCTATTCTTTATTTAATTTTCATTATTTGATTAAATAATAAATATTAATAATAAAAATTGCAATCGGTTTCTCCAATTTTTCGGCCTCTTTTTAATGAAATAATGCATGTACAGTTTCATGGCTGGTAAAAATATATCAGGGCCGTGCAGAGACCTTTGGAGGGGCAGGTGCTTAAAGTATAAAAGGGGCACATGGCTTTAAATAGGGCTGTGCTCAAAATATCAATACAGCAATATACTGTAATGCATTACGATACGGAGGCTTCTGTATTGATACAGCAGCAAATGCTGTGACGCAGTTTTGAAAAAGGAACACAGCACAGAAAAGACCATTTTAAGTTTAAAAGTTAAAGAATGATTTCTTCTGTGGTTTTGCTGTTGTAAACACTACTGTTGCTGTTGTAGAAAAAAATATTTCTGTCACATTTAAAATGGAATTCTATTCTAGTCCTGTTCTAAATGTATTCATTGTTTGAATGATAATGATAATAAAAACAGGATTGATAAGTATAATTCAGAGGATAAGAAAATCAGTATAAGCCTGTTTTGCCAGTGTTGTAATAATAATTTTAAGGCACTCTGTTTTTAAAATAAATACTGTAATAATAATAGTTCAAAGTATAAATAGTTTTTAGTCAGATAACATAAAAAAGACAAGACCCCTCGATGCCCATTAAACTTTTCTCAACTAAACAGCAAGAACGAAAGAGAACAGGCACCACTGTGTGTAGAACAAGTTAGCTGCATTTTTAATATTTAATAAATATTTAATTTTAATAAAATGTCAATTCGTCCCCCGCACTTTATTCGGGCAGGTGTGTTCACGTAGAGGTTTCCATTTTAAGTTTAAAAGTTAAAGAATGATTTCTTCTGTGGTTTTGCTGTTGTAAACACTACTGTTGCTGTTGTAGAAAAAAATATTTCTGTCACATTTAAAATGGAATTCTATTCTAGTCCTGTTCTAAATGTATTCATTGTTTGAATGATAATGATAATAAAAACAGGATTGATAAGTATAATTCAGAGGATAAGAAAATCAGTATAAGCCTGTTTTGCCAGTGTTGTAATAATAATTTTAAGGCACTCTGTTTTTAAAATAAATACTGTAATAATAATAGTTCAAAGTATAAATAGTTTTTAGTCAGATAACATAAAAAAGACAAGACCCCTCGATGCCCATTAAACTTTTCTCAACTAAACAGCAAGAACGAAAGAGAACAGGCACCACTGTGTGTAGAACAAGTTAGCTGCATTTTTAATATTTAATAAATATTTAATTTTAATAAAATGTCAATTCGTCCCCCGCACTTTATTCGGGCAGGTGTGTTCACGTAGAGGTTTTCACGGGCCAGTGTAAATAAATCTAGATTTAAATTCAAAGAGACAAGATAGTCTATGCATGACCTGACGTTTTATTCATATCCAAAATGAGGCAATGTGAACATCATGGAGCGCTAAAAGCTCTCATGCAGTGTCTGTTTCATTCATACTCGAAGCCAGAGGACGCTCTCATACAGAAAGTCCAAAACGGACTTATGGAAGTAATATTTTATGACGTGCAGGAAATCCCTAATATGGACAAAGGCATCCGGCTATCGCTGTAGGCAAACCAATATCTGCTGTAGCTGAGTTGAATAAAAAGCAGAAACGTTTTGACTGATGAAACATGAAGACAATAAACACACAATTGAGAAAAGATATGGTTTATGTGTGTTTTTCAAGTAATCTCCAGGTAATAAATAAATAAATTATATGAATAATGCAGTGCTAATTGACATATAATTTAGTATAGAAACTATAAAATATATTTCCTGCCTTATTCTGTGATAAAAATGGGAAAAAGGTGTTTGTAGTTGCCTTTATAAACCAATCATAAAATTGGCATTAGGAAAATATAGCACAAAAATATTATAGAATACAAATTATTGGTTATTGTCCAGCAGTGTATTTAATTTCTTAGCCAATTAAAAATAAGAGATAAAAAGAATAAAACCTGTCAATTAGAAAAAATAAATAAATAAATAAATTAATTAATTAATTAAAAAAAAATCTGAAATGATGTCTACGCCCCATGCTGCAGCTAACGTGACTTCCACAGGCTACACACAGCAATATAAACAACAGCTGTGCATGCTCTCTTCACGTCGTTCTTGTAAAATAATAATAATTTAATAATAAAAGTATACAAGCACACCGCTCCGCTGAGAACTCCACAAAACCAGCAGCCGCGGACATTATTGAAGCTATCCTGGTAGTGCGCTAAATTACTAAAGTTGTCTGAACATCAGGGATCATCCCAGATCAGATCGACAGGTGAAAGGTCATCATGTGGATCATTTTATTTACGGCTAAATTATTATTTAATTTATTATGTATTATTATATTATTATTAATTATTATTTATTATTTAAATGGAAAATGAAATTTAATTACAAAAAAAAAAAGCTTTGACAAAAGGGCACTTTGGGCATCAAGGGGGAAAGGGGCAGGTGCTCAAGCAAACAACGCATCCACCCCCCAGCACATGCCTGACAAATATTTTATATATATATATATATATATACACAATACATATATTACTTAAGACTTCATCTAACACTCAGTTTGACACTAATAAATAAATAACACAGTTAAATGTAATCTCTCACTAAATGAATTAAAGCAATAAGCCCCAAGAGGCCGTGGTTTACAGTGATGATCTCTGCTTCGCGTCGTGCCTAACAACGCCCCTTAGCTGTTATAAATTCACTGTAAACCGCAGCTTCACGGGGCTTATTGCTTTTATAAAACGGTTATTCCATATACGTAGTAAGGTTTCACAAAATAAAACAGAGCAATTAAGGTGTAATGATATTAATAAAAACATTATTCTTCCGCCAAACAATGTAGTTCCTCAGAATCAGTTGTGGTTGCAACACAGTGGTTGCCGAGCAACACACAAACGTAAACAAAGGTGTATGTTTGTAGAGTAATTGACAACAGCTTTGAACGCGGCTCAACCAATCAGAATCAAGGACCGGAACTATTCATTTTATAAATCCATTTTTCATAGTGTACATTACATTATATAATATTGTGATGCCTAAATTCACTTGTTACATTTAAAATGTTTTTGGTTTTTAGTGTTTTATTTTTTATTTACTGTATTTAGACAAATTAGTGAAGAATTTGAATATTATCTGAATTTCTTAAAACTTAAATTGATTGATTGATTGTGACATCACTGACCTCTGATTGGCCCAGCCTGTCCAGATTGGAAATATCAAAAGTGTTTCCGACAGCTGCGGTGTCTA